CTACGAGCTATTTAACATAAAAACACGTACCGGGTAAGCCAGATTGTAAAATTACACCCAACTAGGTCAATCCATTGTCCACGTGTTATTACACGCGCGCGCGGTGTCAGTGTTACGCGCTGCTACGCGCTGAAAGTGCCGGACCCGTTTCAAGTGATAAAAGTGTAATCAAGGTTGACCGGCGGTTGGCGGCGGTCGATCCCTTTGCATAAATCGTGAGACAAGCTCGCGCGGAGACTGCGAAGTAATCAAGGCTGACCCACGCCGGGCGTTTTCTCGAGACCTAGAATCGACCGAGAGCTCCCGCATCTATTATACCGCCCGACGTAACGATGCTCGGACGCCAGTCAAGCTAGTCCTAATTGCTCATTAATTCGCAAATTCGGCTCCTCCACGTCGCGGAGAGAGCGATTGCTTAACTGGAAAGAAACATCCTTATTCACATTCTCTAGTCCCGATTAAAGAGTTTCTTCAATAATCCAAACAATTGCATGGAAAATTGTCACATCGCCCGGGTCTCCTCTATAAAATTTATACGCGAGCGTTATGATGACTTAACGTAATTTTTTTAGGTAGGTCAGATCTTGTACAGGGTGATTCATTTTAATCTTAACAGGCAAAAATATGCGAGATACGAAAAAATGTTTCAGACAAAAGTTATATGGTTTTAAAGGAGACATAAGATGGTGTCATTAATTTAACCTTAAATAGTTACTTGAAAGTCACGTGAAAGTCACCATCAATTTTTTAAATGGAACCGCCTATTTTTTATTACATATTCTTGTAGCTTATCTCGAGAGCTTTCCAAAACACTAAAATTAAGTTAGTTTTCATTAAGTACTTTCCGAGTTATGAGGCTTGAAATTGTTTCTTAATTTTACATAAATCGTAAAATATCTTGTAAAATATTCAATTTTTTGATTATCTTACCTTAATACTTTTATGTACAAAATAATGAGAGGGATTGATTGGTGTAAAGAAAATATACAGTTGTTTTTGAGAAAAAATATGGAATTGTTAATTGCAAATTACATATTTTTTCGTAGAAACAACATTATGCGTTTTCTTTACACCAATTGATTCCTCTCATTATTTTGTACATAAAAGTATTAAGATGAGATAATCGAAAAACGAATATTTTACAAGATATTTTACGGTTTATGTAAAATTAAGAAATAACTTCAAACCTCGTAACTCGGAAAGTATTTAACGAAAACTAACTTAATTATAATGTTTTGGAAAGCTCTCGAGATGAGCTACAAGACTATGCAAAAGCATATAGGGTGTTCCATTAAAAAAGTTGGAGGTGACCTTCGCGTATCCTTCAGGTGACTCTTCAAGATCAAACTAATGGCACCATCTTATGTCCCCCTCGAAACCATACAACTTTCGTCTGAAACATTTTTTCGTATCTCGCATATTTTTCAAAATATTTGTCTTAAGTTACGATTAAAATGAATCACCCTGTATAGTAAAAAGGGTTGAAAAGTTGTAAATAGAATAAATCAAAGTTGTCGTTTTACGCTCATCAAGATTTTAACTAAAATCGGATATCATCGCGTCAACTTGGCCAGCGTGCCATGCGTGCCTGCTGTCAAAGGTGACGGTACTTTCTCTCTTTCGACAATGAGGAATTCGACCCGCGAGGAGATAATAAGAATGGGAACCTTGAGGCATAACGATTCGGAAAGAAGCATCCACGCCGTCGTCCCACCTCCCCGCTCGCTCCGACCCTCTCGTCGCCGCCGCCGCCGTCGCCGCCGTTGTTCTCCACCCGGCACTTAGTGGAAACAACAAAGTGCGTGTTCGAGGCACGCGCGCTCGCGTGCCAAACGGGCGTGTGAGAACGGCGTGTCGTGCGTGTGAATCCGCACGGCAGCGCGCGTGTGCCGGCGCGGCGACGTTAATGTTTGCAATCACAAGTTGGAAAGTTTTGTGATGGCAACCGCTCCGTCGGCCAGTTACCCTGGTAACGCTTTGTTGTGCCATTGTGTCGGGCGCGACAGCGGCGGGGAGGGGGAGGGGGGCTCGGGAGAAACACCACCCCCGTACGTTCGCTTCTCCCTCCGTCGAGAAATTGGACGAAACGGTCGCGTTAACCTCCCCTCCCTCCCCCCTCGCCCCTATGAACCCTTATCCCCCTCGATTGCCATTCGGGGACGAATCAACTCGGCTTGACCTAGCCCAAACTATCTCCTCCTCCCCTTCCGTCCTGTCACCCCGGCGATGATGAATAAGGGGCACGTTTCTCCTCTGGACCCGTCAAAGGGCCGCACCCCCATGATCTCTCATTTATGCGAATCGCGGAAATGCAAATAAGGATCTGATATTTTTTTTATCGGTTGAAGAACGTGCGACTCTTGAATATAAACATGGTTGAGTATTGTCTGCAATGTGCAATCGAAAATTCTTCAGGTCCGAGAAACTAATCTCGCAAGACGAGACCAAGAACTAATCTCGAAACAATCTTCCATCTAAATCTAAATCTAAAAAAAAAAAAAAAGACGGGAATCGATCGTTTACGTAATAACTTGAATCCAGAAAATGAGGCCAAGCAAATTCCGGTCTGAATAAGTCTGTATGCTCGTTTATTACCCTCGCTCAAGTTAACATAGTATAATTATCGTGGACAGAGTTGATATTGTAGTAAAATATAACGAAGAGTTATATCATACATTCAACACATGCATATTGAAGAAACACGCCGCTTTATATCAGCGATTGCTCGCGAAGTAAAAATGTTTTAGATCGAGGTATTAATAGAATTGTTGCTCGGGAAATTCGCAGCCGTTCACGAGTATTCAAATATTAATTCTGACACATGTACACAAAATATATAATATATAAATAGTAGCGCTAAATTATTCGATACTCTAAATTTTTAAAATTTAAAGTACCGCGATATATATTCTCACGATTTTCAACTGTTTAAATTCAAGCCTATTTGAAGAATTTTTGTGTGTGATAAAAATAAATAAAAGAAATCTATTCTCTTTGAAAAATTCAAGACAATTTAAACAATTCAAATCTCAAATAACAAACTGTTCGATTGTGGATTTTGCGTTCATAAAATATGTATGTACATTTACCATTTCGCTTGACCGTATCAGAAAGTTTTTATCTCTCTATTTATGAAATCTTAAAAAAGAATGGAAGATCAACATTGAATGACAATTCAAAACAATTCGTTCGCATTGATGGAACGTAAAATCATTTTTATTAATAATTTGCAGAATACGTGAATTACCATCGCAAAAAAACTTTGCACATGAATTACACGAAAATGTTAATATTTTCTTTATTAATGAAACTGAATTAATGTCAATTCAATTTGTAGATATGAAACATGTCGTACGAAAGAGAATTTATGTTATCAAATATATTTGTGACGAATATTTATCTTTCCATATAATATTTATATACGTTCATATTTCTATATTATATTTTTATATAACTATGCAAGACTTATTATATTATCGATTTTAATTCGAAAAACGAATCCGAAAGGTACAGTACTAGATTTATAATTTAAAAAATTCGATTTCAAGACGCGCAATATAAAAATCCTGAGAAAATATATTCTGGGTCATGTGTAACGCGAGTACGTCATACGGAGCACTTATCGCGCGAGATAACAGCTCGTGCGCAGATATCGAACTCTCCTTCTCTTCGTTGCGGGCAAACAATGTGTTACGTTAAAGCCTATATTTGCGTTTCTAGCATTATCACAATATGCGACAAAATATCAAAATTAAAAGGATATATATATATATATATATATATATATATATTTTTTTTTTTTTTTCAAGATAATTAAAATTCGAGCATGACAACAATATTAATTACACAGGCATTTGCGACTGTAGAACATACGGTCAGAGTATTTTAATGAAATTCTCTAATAATGAATCACGAAAATTCGTCGAAACGTGACTCGTCGTTAGACTATGCTACCTACTCCAACAAGCGCAATATATTCATAACCTCACCGGGAACCCGAGGACCGCGACGAAAACGTAAAGATTCGCGAAGACGCGAAGGTATCGACTCCGGCCATCATCGTCGCGCGCGACAGCTCGCGCGGCGACGCGCGTTTCTGGAAGCGGCGCGTTGACGCGCGTATAACCTCCAAAACGGACGCGACGCGGGCTCGCGGCGACGTGAGACGTCGGGTCCGTTGCGTTCGGCGGCGAAAAAAGGGAAGCCTCGGAAGAGATCGAGACGGATCTCTCGGAGGATCGCGATCGGTTACGATCGAAGGGGCGGGCGAACGAGAGCGCGCGCGCGCGCGGGGAAGGAAGGAAGGAAGAGGACCCGGCCGCGACGTGCTGTCGACGGTCGACCGAAATTAACCCTCCCCGAGGAGAAAAGAAAAAGAACGTAGCGTATCCCTCTCTCCAGAGAGCGACGACGCGCCTTTGACGCGTGACGTTTCGCGAACCGCGCGCGCGACTCCGCTCGCCGGTCGCGATCGGCGAGCGTTTCGACGTGACGGGAAGAGCGATTTTCAACTTACTTGTACTTGCGTAGGCCGTCGCAGAAAAATCCGACGCACCGGGACTGAATTCTCTCACGCACAAACACGAAACTTGGATAGGCAATCACGTCGCAATGGCGAGAGCCGCGGGTGCGTTGTGATCGAACGCGCTGCCGCCATCTTGCGGACGCCAGGCCATCTATCGGCGGAGGGAGCGCGGCGCTGGTTTACGCGGGAAACGCTCTGGCGTGACCAGCGCCATGTTTGCACGGCTATTTTGAATCGCGGCGATTCACTTCGACGCTGTTATCGACTATATGCTAATCGCATAATCGAGTCCGCTCGCTTTAAATGCGTCTTTTATATCTAATGGAAAATGAATTGATGACGAGTGGAAAACAGGGCGAGGCAAACGAGTTGCTATTTAACGCGGAATTCAATATTTGAATAAATAGTAAAATTATAGATGTAAAAAAATTACGAAAAAAATGATTGCGATGAAACGGCGACGTATTATGCATACCTGGCGATAAAGTATGGATTCCTCGCAGAAAATAATATTAAATATATGGTAGATGATTTGTGGATGGACCCCGGGTCTACGACTCGGCGAACCACTGATATGGAAATCACGATGTTACAATACTATTCGATCAAAAAGACACTTTACACTGTACGACACACTTCCGCGATTATTTTTCGCACGCGAGATTCACCTTCGAATGGCAACGATTGCGAAAAATTGGAGTGATTCGACCGAACCCGCACAATCTGTCGCGACTCACTCCATTATTAACGACTGACTGGATTCGAGAATCGCAATATCGAAGTCGAATCGATAGTATCGAAGTAATCGAAGGTTAAATAATAAGTATAGAAGCGTAACTCGAAATATACATAGTTCGTCTAAATAAAGTTTTTGGATATCTTAAGATTTTATTCGATCAATGAAATAATCGCATTTTTAGATCTTAATTTAAACGATTTTAAATATAAGCGAACAAACTATGAATGCAGCCTATCATTAATAAATATCAGATTCGAAATATATAATGAATTATTATATAATTCGTTATATTTGTTATTACTAATATATATATATATATATATATATATATATATATATATATATATATAGTTAATTATTTAATACAATAATTTTAAGAATTTAATTTTGGAATTTTCCGAATGCTTAAGATAAAATATATAATAAATTATTTAATACAAAATATCGAAACTCGCAATATTCCTCGTAACTGTATTTCTAGATATATTATTATATTTATCGTTCTCACTAGTCTCACTCTAGTTGCGATGTTTGTTGGAAGGGCATTAGTACCCTCGATAAAACTTGCAAATTCTCACCATATTGTCGAATAACTTTCGGAACGGAATCAAGATGAATAACAATGAATTTAGTGGAAATTTTAAAAGAAAAATTATTAATCAATATACGCAAGGTAATCATTGTTACTGTATCCTGTTTTTCGTATCAGATCTTTGCCGAAATAAATGGAATAATGCAGATAAACGAGTTATATAGCTTGCAGTACAGTCAGCGCGATGAATGTCGATGATATAGATTATAATAGCGAACTCCATCAGATGGAAAGAAAGATTGAGCATTACAAATTGAAATTGCGCGATTCTCGTGAAAAGTATGAAAATATGGAAACAAAAATTTGCAATGTGAGGCAATTACAAAGTAAAGCGTTATTCGTATTAAATAACGTACAACCGATGGAAGAGGATCTTCACGAGCGTTTAAAAAATATACATTTAAATTATGAGACGTGTACGGAAAAATTGGGTGGTTACGAAGATTTGGAAGAGACAGTTCGCGCAAAGATAAACGAATTGACGATACAGAGAGACGCACTGATGAAAGAGTTAGCGCAATTAAAGAAAAACGCCGACGATAACAATAAAAAGCTTATCCGCGTAAAGGCTATGATTATGGAACAAGAAGTGATTTCACCACCTATATTTAATTATTATTGCAAGGTTTGCATGTACATTTCTACAACAAAAATTTATTTTTTTAGGAAAAGAACGCGATATTGCTTCAAGATTTAAAGGAAAAATCCGAAAACGGTGTATCTATTTCACCGAATATAAAAAAACGAATAAATATTGTTTTAGAAGATACATTGGAAAATAAATCGAAGCGACGATTTATAATATAATAGAGCAAACTAATAAAATTTATATAAATTTTGTATAAATAAAATAGAAAATTTCTTATGTTTAATATCTTAATGTTTATGTAAGTTTTTTGTGTAATCTGTAATAAGCAAATAAATCTATTTTTAATATAAATGTACAGCATAGATATAAATACACACAACTCACACACATACACATACACATACACACACACATACATACATATATATACACACACACACACACACCAAATATTTCTAAACTTTATCTTAAAAATGTTCATCTTTGATCATTTTGTGACAATTCCTTAATTCTTCATACAGTTTCTCTAATTCTTGCAATATGATTGGCATACGATCAAAAATTCTCATCATGCTGTCATTCCTGGCACATATTCTTGATCTATTTTCTGCAATTGTCTTCATTAGAGTTTCATTCTCTTCTTCTATTTCATTTACTTGCTTCTCCAATTCTTCAGTTGCTTCCTTGATTTTGTGTGCATCTAATGATCTCAAGTGTGTGATTACATCTCCCGGTGGACGCCTGCAATCACATATAAATGACTTAAATTAAAAATTTTATCAAACAATTATTAAAATATTTCAACAAATCTATCACTGACCATGCGTCTTCGTTAACGGACGTCGTATTTTCCTCGGACAGTTTAGCTATTTTGCTCAAAACATCCTGCAAACTGCCTTCCTTCAATATATTTTCCACATCATTACTCATGCCATTATACAGTTCCTTTATTAGGGCTTTGTGTAACTTCTGGGCAATGCTGGGTTTCGATTTCAGAATCGGGAGTATATCGACAAACTCATTCTCGCTAGAAGACAAATAGATAACGAATCAGATTGATTAGTGGGGAATAGATTAGTATGATGCAATTATTGTATCAAATTATTAAATACGTAAATATCCAAAGTCGATAAAATGATGCCGTTATCTAATTTTAAGATTAATGCATCGCGCGACATCCGGAAATATAATACGAGCTGCTGCGTGGCACGATTTGAATTACATATACGCTTTATATCGCTTCACGGAAAGGTATCTTATCCACCTGAAAGATATACGAGAAAGATACTTATATACGCGCTCTTTTACTCCATCGACTCCGACGCACGACCGGATGCGCATTCCCAGCGTATGATGCATAATTATTACGTGACGAGTATCACGCCGAGGATCGAGAATTTTTCTTTGTCCCGATCCGCCAGACAAAGAGCAGCGGCACCTTCGATCACAAGGGACGAGCACCGCGAGGTTTTAATCGACTTCTTGCGTCTTATAATAAGCATACAATACCCGTACAGCACAGAACATTGCAGCAATATTACAATGTTGTTGCAAATATTGCTGCAATGTTCTGTGCTGTATGAATAAGATCCAGTCTCTCAGTTTCCGACGTTTTAAAAATCGCCAAGAGGCGGTTATTTATTTCTCGACGCAACATTTATTCGCATATCGTTCTACCTATCTACATAAATGATCTATCCACAATCGAACTTACCCAAGACTGATGGCACCGTCAACGAGAATGGCAATGTTGTTTCCTGCGTGCTCAATCAGGCCGGGACTGGTGCAATTTGAAATCAATGCTACATATTTGCATTAGTCCAGACCTAACTAAGCACGCTTCCACGATGGTCCACGGGAGAGATGCTCGCATTCTTCGCGTACAGAAATCAATGACAGATGTAGAATCAAGCGCGGAGCAATTTCTCTCATTATTCCACGGTGCTCAAAAACATCCCGTCCGCACGAGGCGACCATCAGAGACAAACTACGTTCAATTTACATCCGCGCCGAAAGAATCGTGCCGCAGACAAACGCACGCACGCACGCACGCACGCACGCACGCACGCGTGCACGATGTCCGCGATACGCGGCGGACGAATGACCATCGTTCCCGCGCCGGTGACCGCAACGGGAGGCCTTTGTTTCCCCGAACGCTTCGTGGAATTCTCCGAAGGTCAACCGGTGGGCTCAAGCCGAGATGTTCCTGGAGGTCCGCGATGCGCCGAAAGGGACCGAGCGATTTTTAGGCAGCTTTCAGCCGCGAGAGAGAGCCCCCCGGACGCGCGTATCAGGTACACGTGAGCGACGGCGAGCCGGGAATTAACATGCGAACCGCGGAGGCCAATGACATCGAGTAACACCGAGTCGTGCGTTGGGTCATCGGCGATGCCGATCCCTCCCCCACCGTTTCCCGTTGCGACCCGTTGTCGTCAATAAATTACGAAAGCATCTCGTGAAAAAGATGGATCGTCTCGAGCATAAAACGGTCCTCTGTATTCGTTCCATTTACAGACATCGTCTCGAAACTATATTATTGACAGATGTAAAATATGAATTTTTCACATCGCTCGTGTGTCCTTTCTATAGGTTGTGCAATATTATTGCATCAACAGACGTATATGTGACAGTTATTTTGATATATTTTTTTCTTGATATAATTTTTATTTGTAACGTTAAATTTTTCGTAAAGTTTCTACCGAGATTTCTTTATTAAAACGTGTTAATGTCCGAGTTTGTCGAAAAAGAAAGATGGTCCTAAGGAACGAGAGATGCTGGTCGCTTCGAGAAATATTCTCGAGACCGCATGACGTACTTGACATACTTTTGATAGCAGTACTGTTATTGCGCGAGCATGTTTGGGCATAAGAATTATAAGTCGAGCGTACGAATAGACACTGAAAATTGAAAAAGCGCAAAGAAATATCGAATTAAAAAAAAAAATAGGCAAAAAGCAGGGAGTAAAAGAACCCATTGTGATACAGCAATACATTCCAAATTCGCAGTAGAAAGCTATACCACGGGAGGACATGACGCTTCCTTCGGCTCGAAAAATGATCTCGCACACACTTAAAGCACCTACACCATTTAGACTATCTCTCTATCCTTGTTCACGAGAGACGAGAGGTTAAGCGTACAAGAAATGCGCGCGCGAAATCGAAAGGAGACGCACGCGTGCGTTGGGCGCGTCTTTCGGTGTACAATGTGACGGTTGCTCACCTCACGGACTCGCTTATGTTCCTGAGACTGTTGGTGACGGCGACCTGGAACAGCCGCGCGTTGTTCGGCCGATCGGCCTCCTCGGCCTCCGCCATTTCCCGGCCTGTTTGCGCGCCGACAAAGGACGGGTCACGAGAGACGAGGCGTCAACAACGGATGCCGCATAATAACGGTTTTCGACGATGACCGGCCAAGTGTCGCCCGGATACTCTTCACGGTTTTATCGGCGGGATTTTATTATCTTGAAAGAATTTTCTGCGCGAGTTCCAAATGTCACGCACAGATGGCGCTCGGAACGCGCCGGTGCTGCCAGCTGGAACGTTTGAATTTTTGACAAGACGTATCGCGGTGTTTGTTTACAATTGAGTACATTTATTCGACTCGCATATACATATCTTGATGCTATTGCATTACTTTTTTTTTCAAAAATTTAGGATTAATCAGAGCATCGAATTTTAATCGCTTAATTTAATAACAAGGAAATGGATTGTGTTAAATGTAATTAGGTTAGTTCATAATAAAATCTTCGTTATCTCTTTTTTCTTTCTTTTATAATAATCTTTTATAAAAATCTTCGCTATCTCCTCTTTTTTTCTTTTATGTTTCTATTTACTATCGATTTTTCAGATCAGAGAATTGGTTTGCAATCAATAAAGTCCTCGTAGCGAATTATTTGCTAATGATTATGGCGAAATTTCTACATTGACGGAGATCTACGGCACGAATTGTTAATTAGTCGTCGCTGCGATTACAGTACTTGTACGCACGTCAAATATAATATAATTACTCTGTAGCTTAAGGCGCGATTAATCGAGTGTTCCTTTCTATGGTACTGTCTCTGGAGAATTTGAAGCTGTGTCGTACGTGAGTGGCGTACTTAAAAAGCAATTGTCAATTGTCGCCTTGTAAGTAACATCTGGTAACATCTTTGACTTTGCCGTTATTTTCATCGGAAATGTTCCGCAATCGCGCCAATTGCTCGACTAATGGACACAAGGATGCTCTGTTTATGGAGCGAACACAATACCTTTCCGGCTAATAAAATGGACCACCGCATATTCGGGATTTATTATCGACGTAATCGATAATAATATTCTGATATAATAATTGAGAGAATCGGCTACTTATGCTCATGATTGCGTCATCCTCGGAAAACGAGCACGCGGCAAGTGCTCTTCAACTGTTATGAGAAATCGGCGCATCGCATCTAAGCACCGTCCGAAAGTTGTCGGCGAAAGGATTCACCCCTCTGCGGGAGCTCCTAGCGATGATCAGCGATCTATCTCATTGTCAGATGTCCGGCGATCTGTTCGTCAAGAGCCACTTCCTCTTATATTCGCGCTGCGCTCAAGACAAGCCGGGGGCGATATCCTTGAGGCGAAATCAGATCGCGGATCTGTCACCGATTGTTCGCCCCCACCAAGTTTCAAGCCTGGTACCATTGTAGGACCAGGTACTATAGGCTGCACCCCTCGGCTGCATTTACATGCGCTTCTCAAAGGTCAACGATGACGATTAGGAGGAGCTGAATAGCGTCTCCTTGTATAGCAGTTCGCAATTCGAGAGCGACGTTGCGACGCGCCTTAGATATATTATGCAACCGGCTTTACCCGGTGATCTGAACTATATTTTCTTTTGCTCATCTTATACGAGAATGCTTCGGCTACCGAAAGTCGAAGCACCCATTCACTCGACTCGCCAACGAGAGAGGATCATCGTTGATGTAATCGAAAGGATCGCTTTCTCTCTCTCTTCCACGATCGATAGACGATGTAACGATCTCGAGATCGAAATTCCGCGCGACACATTTTCAAATTCCGATGCGAGGAACACGCGCGATTACGCCAGTCGCGTTGCAGAAGCAAACTGCAGTTTTTTTTGCATGTTGAAACGCGTAATACATTCAAGTGTTCCGCATAAACGGTCGAAGGAATAAGTACAGTCGAATAATTTATGTGATTAAAGTGATATCTCTTTGGAGATAGATCTGAAATATCGATCTCTCCCGCCAAACATCCATCATACAGCATAGAAAGTACATGTCGAGATGATCGTGGGAAGATATTAGCCGGCAATAAAATAATGCCATTCTATTTTGTAATGATTTAAGCGAAAAGATATGAAAATGAAGTAATAGATTCAGGCAGTATTCATTAGCGGAATGTGTAGTCGTAACGAAAGTTAAGGGAAATTAACGAGATACCCTAATTATGTGTCTCGCGAAAACATTGAAGCCGCTGAATTGAGAGGGATGACGTAATGATGTCTTGTGTGTTTTCCTTTTATTCTCTACACACGATCAAAGCGAACATGGATTGGTTCGTAATTAAGTTTAGTATACATGTGTCTAAGAAATAAATTCTCACGTCGATTTATCTAAACATTCATTCATATTCGTTCTAAATTATTAATAAAATTATTAGTAAACTTTCATGGTGACGTGAGAAATTTACCTTAAAAACCTATAAACTCTTTAAAGTATTCATATGTGTAATCAATATTATAGATATAAATGCACAATATATTTACTACATATTAATATAACAAAAATTAATAAAAAAATTAAGAATGATTAATATTTCCAGATTTAAGGAGGCAAAGTACATACATGTGTAACCGGAATTCTCTTCGACCTAACAATCGAAACGGATGAACTGAATGCGCTACCTGCATTTCTGATATCACACCTATCTCTGGAACGAAGCGCAATAAAACGTAAACGATCGCACCTGTCTCTCACCCTGCCTATCACGGTAGGCGCGGTAGAAATCTCCGCGATCATCGCTCTTCTTCCTTTCTTCCTTTTTTTGCTCCGTTACGGAGTTGCGTCAAAACCGCGACACGTAAGAGAACTCTGTCGAGGAGAGACCGCAGCTTTTTTTTCCTTCCATCAACCTCCGACGCAGGCACCCATTCTTTCGAAATGGTGCGATCGCGCGGACGAGGTCGTAAGAAGGAGAGCGCGCGTGTGCTCCCGGTTTTGCGCAATCTCTTTATTACATATCCCTCATCAATAACGAATTTCGCGATACTTCCGCGATATGAGAAACTGAGTTCGACGCGCCGTCTAATTATATCATAGCAAAGACATAACTAGAGGAATCGGGTATAATAAGTCTGTACTTGGATAGCAAAAAATGTTACATAATTTTGAATAAATGTCCTACAATAATTTTTTTTCAGATTACCTGCATTTTTAAAGACATCGCCGATCAGAGATCTTGTGCAGCATCAAAAGACGGCATCGTCCTTCGACAATCGATACAGATCTAACACTGAAGTCGTGGGTGATTAATTGTAAAGAATGATGAAAAAATCGCCTTCTCCCAGTTATTTTTCGACACCGATGGATGCGAACGATACATGGAGCTCCATACACTTCGGGATTCACATCGAACTTCTGAAGTTCTCGCGTCGATGGACTTCATCTCTAACACGAGCAGCAAGAAAGAGTCGAGTCTCTTCTTAAGAATATCGGTGATTTCGATGCTTCTCGGGGAGCGCTTCGCAGAGTGGGACGCGATGTCTCGACATGGTCGTCGTATCCTATTATCGGTTTCGTAGCTCACGATTGCTCATGATTTTTTATCTCGGCCGCATTCCCGCATCCGACCTGGAAAACACGTTTATTTTAACCTCGGGAATTGGCGCGCTATATACAGAGGGTGTTTCACGATTGCCATCTCCTGACTTTGCTCCTCCGTCTATTCCTTATTTGTGCATCCAATTCGTTGAGATGTAATGTCAAAACATCATTATCAGCTACGATTTCTAAATATGGGACCAAAGTTCGGACGTTGTATCTCTAATCGAGACGCACGTCTTTCTCTTGAACGGTGATCATCGCTTCATTTACGGCGAAACGTGAGCACGTTAACCGTAAGCTGGATGGTTAATCGGCGAGTTATGTGTCAATCGGCAATCCGATGATTTCAGCGCATTCATTATGGCTTACATATTTGCGTGCGGTATTTTTTATGGAAACGTTTACGGTACACGTTGAAGCTGCAACTTATGGACGCGGAACATTCGCAATCGCGAATCTGTGGGCGATTTCGCGGACGATTAGCCTCTTGTAACTCGTCTTACGTAATCGTCAAATCTTCGAGTAACCGGATCTGAACTCTTCACGATCGTATAATTACCCGAATATCCAAATGGTCTAACATAAGTAAAAACGCACGAGTAAACTCTTGACGAGATAATAGCTTTCATTAATAACTCTGTCGCTGGAAGGAGCGAAAATAATAAATTTTATATCATGTACCCTGGCCGCGATAGATCAGTCTGGGTTACCCAGGGGTATCCAGAGTTTCGACCTAGTGCACACGTGCACGCACGTACCAGGCCGGCCGATGATGCCGCTTCGCGGAGATGCTCAACGCACACCGATTACACAACGAGTTCATTCGATTGCGCGGAGCCTGCGTTCTAAGTTGCTCTCTATAAAGATACGCTCTATCGTTGACGATGGCGATGACGACTTCGCGGCATTCGAGTATAATTCTCGCGTCGAAAGAGCCGATATAATTACAAGGGAGAATGCATGTCAGCTGCGTCATCGGCTCGACCCGTTTTTCTTTACACTTTCCCACCGTTTCGTAAATAGATCAAATAAATCGCACGATTTAGAGAGATTATAATCTCGATACATATAATTAAGCTTCTTATTATGATAAAACTATAAAATAATTATTTTCACAATAACATATTTAATAATCTTTTCTGGTAAAATGGTAGTGAAAGATGCTTCGACCGATATCTTTTCACTTTTATACGTCATTATCTGAATCGCTTCACTTTCATGCCTCGAGTCTTATGTCGACCTTCAGGTCTGTTTGGAGATGTTTGCCGATCTATATCACTCGACATTGCGCAATCACCCCTCATCGCTTGACAGTTTCATCTCGCGACGGAGGCCTCTTTCACACCATTCCCGCCCCTCAATGGTCCCCTCACTGTGCGCCTCTTTCTTTGTCCAGTTATTCCGGGATCTGTTTTTCTCTCTTCTTCTCCCCGGCAACATCTTTCGCGGGGCGAGGATCGCAAGCGAATCTTCAAGGAACGCATCACCGGGTGATCTCTAGCCATCCGATGGCATCCGTGCGCTGGTTTCTCATCAACGGGTGGGAGGAAGACGATCCTCGTGCGGGATCGGTATATAAGCATGTTGGATCCGACCTGGATCTGTGCAGATCAATTATCATCGGCGGTTTGACGATACTTACACATTTTGGGTATCGCTGCAGTGTATAACATCACTGAAATTCGTTCGACGAGATGGGATCGGTACGAGAGGTGCAAATCTTTCAATATTTTAATTTCCATTCTTATGGATCTCGAATCTTCCATTTCGCGATGAAAGCGAAGCAGTCCATCGAATATTTTGTCTTCGGGTTATGTGATTTTCGTCTCGCGTGTGAGATAGTGTTCCTAAAAAAAAATGAAACTTATAGTTTTTACACTGTTTCCTTTTCCTTCTTAATCTATACTTTGTCAAATAATGTTGTTTTATGTCAAAATATTGTTTTATGTCAAACCATTCTTTTCCCAAGATTTAATGTGACTAAAATTGTTTTAGCAAGTCGCCATCGCGTTGCTAATCATCGTCGGTATATGCCATGCCGCACGATTAGACAATATTTACCTCCCGCCTGGTAGTGCCGGAAGTGCAGGTGGACCAGGATTGATTCATCCTCCAGGATCTGGTGTAGGTGTTCCCATTAAACATAGTGGCCCAGTTGGTGCTGGTGGTCCAAGTGGGCCAGGTGGTCCAGGTGGTCCAGGTGGTCTAGGTGGTCCAGGTCACGGTGGTCCTGGTGCACCAGGCAGATTGGGTCTCGGGGGTGATAGCGGTATTTATCAAAGTGGTAAGTCTAAGCAAAGAAAAAAAAATATAACTATATCTTATGTTTTATTATGTTAAATGCAATTTTATCTGTCTCTGAAATTTTTATTGCGATTATTATATAATTAAAATTAAATTAATTGAATCTTCTTTTATTAACTCACCGCATCATTTCTCTCAAAAAGAATTAGACAGTTTTTTTTCTGAAGGATAACTTACATTTATCTTACTCTTAAAGTTTAATTTAATATATAATTATATAATTATATATATAATTTTTTAATTCAGGTGGCAGATTGAGTGATGGTGAGCATGGCGGTCAAGAGATACCCATCATTTCGTACAATAATGAGAATGCCGGTGATGGAAATTATGAGTTTAGTTATGAAACCGGAAATGGTATCACCGTGCAAGAAACTGGTCATCAACAAGGTAAAAAAGTACATTTCTATTTCTCGATTAATTACTGATTTAAACTTATTACTATACTATATATAATATAATCATTCGGTCTTCAATCCTGATAAATTTACTTAAATTTTATTTTCGTCAAACAATCAATCATCCTTAGATGAAAAATCGTGGAACAATTGTACGCAAAACGCAGCAGTATTGAGGGACCGTTGCGTCAATGAAGAAGTTGAATACGTATCTCTATTGATGTTGCAGGAGAATTGGAGTCAGTGAGCGGATCTTTTTCTTATACCGGACCCGATGGTGTGCAATATTCCATCACTTACACAGCAGACGAAAATGGCTTCCACCCTCAAGGTGCCCATTTGCCGACTCCGCCTCCGATTCCGCCAGAAATTCAACGAGGCGTTGAACTGTCGCTTGCCGCCGAAGCCAGGGGAGAGAATCAGGATGGAGGATATTCGCAGGGAGGAACCGCCGGACATCCCAGCGGAGGTGAGTTATACAAATATTCAAATTTAAATGATCGTTGATAATTGCACGATTTATACACATCGATGTTTCGAGTAATTTATTTTATCCTCTTATTACAGGAGGCGGTCATGGTAGCCATGGTGGCGTGTATCAGGGACCGAATTCGTATCAGCCAAGTCCGGGTGGATATCAATATTGAATAGCGAATTCGCGAATCACACATCAACATATATATCATACGCAGACATAAATTTTTCATATTATTCCGTTTCGAATTATCTACATAAAAATGTCACACGGAGATCTTTTTATTTATATAAAATGTGTATTTTATTCATGAAAAGCCTGCAATCTAATTCTAATTCTTTTTTGTTTAAGTCTTTTTGTACAAGTACAATGGTGTTCAACTTCTTTTATAAATATTGTCATTGCAATTTTAAGACATTATATATGCATCAAGTGTACATGTGTGTAATGTGATTGTATAATTAATACTTAGCAATATATACCTGCGATATATACCATACATTCTTCCTGTATACGCTTTTTTATATACACAGATTACATATTAATTTCGATGTTTTTATATGTTATTATTCTTTGAATAAATGAAACACAGTGTACTAATACTGTAAAATATGTAAATTTTTCTATTTATATTATTACATATCGAATTTAACCTCTAAATTCTAAAACTTTTATATAAACAGAAAATAGTAAAATTTATATATATATATATATATATATATATATATATATATATATATATATATTATATATATATATATATGTGTGTGTGTGTGTAAAAATACATATATGTTTTAATATAATGTAAAGATTATTTAAAGATAAATATGCAGAAATTAGCAACAATTAATTCATTGAATAAAATTATTATGAAATCAATTAGATTTTTACATAAACTGATAATGTAATTTCTATAACGTAATTAATATGCCAATATATTATCAGTCTATTTATTTAAGTATATATTGACATTTAATATATATATATATATCATATTCATTTTCATACTTCTTCATGATTAGTAATACAAGTTGAAGATTTAGGCATTTCAACACCTCTTGCAAACTGAATAAAGAGTTGCTCTAAAGTTGCAGATAAAACAGCATAATCCTCAATGCAACTATATCTTTGCTTAAGATCTTTTATTGTATTATACATTTTTTCCCACGTTGTGTTACAATCAGTTACATGGTAGGCAAGTAAACCCTATAAAATATAGAAAAATTAATTGTAATGGAAAAAGGGGAAAAAATGGAATGTATCAATCATATTATTATAGATGTATTCTGGTTTTAAACAAACCACAATTATTACCAAATTATCATCTCTAATGTCGCATATTAAAGTAGATTCAATGATCATCTTGATATTTTTAACATCCTCATCCGATCGGCCAGGATTTAATTTTATATGAATATCATAACCTGCTCCAAATCGTTGCTTTAATTCTTGACTTGCACCAATACAAACCAATTCACCTTTCACCATAATCACTAATCGATTGCAAAGTGCTTCACATTCTTCCATGCTACCAGCAATATACATAGTTTTAATATGTTGGAGTTAATAAAAATAAATTTATTCAAGCAATAAATATATATTTTATCTTCGATACTTGGACAATTCTAATAGATACCTGTGAGATGTAAGTATAATGGCTTGTCCTGCTGCTTGGCAAGATTGCAAAGTATTCCATAGCGATCTTCTAGCTGCAGGATCAACACCAGTTGTAGGTTCGTCTAAGAGAACAAGAGTAGGACTTCCGATTAGAGCTATCGCAATGTTTAAGCGTCTCTTGTTTCCACCGCTGTAAGTACCGCTTGGCTGCATCATGCAAGCAGTTAAATCTGAAAAAATATATACATACATTTTATCATGTATACTGTTTTATGCAAAGTGATTTTTTTTGGAATTTTATATTATGGCACTTGACTCACTCAGTCTATTAATCCATTTATTAACTTCCAATTCTACATTGGACTTTGGTATGCCGCGCAGACGAGCGAATAATCGTAAATGGTCGAAAGCGTTCAAGGAGGGTATTAAAGCATCGGTTTGTGGACAGTATCCCATTTCAGAGAGATACTACAAGAAAAAAATTTTTAATATTTCAATAAACAATATAATGCTAAAGAAATTAGAGTGTAGATTATTGTTACTTTTTTCCTATTCGAACAAATTTCCGCTCGTTCTAAGTACATCAAGCCACTGTCAGACATTTCTTCTCCAGTTAGCATTCGGAAAGTTGTACTTTTACCGGCACCATTTACACCAAGCAATCCGAAACATTCCCGTGGTTTTACCCGAAAACTAATCTCTTTTACAGCCATTAGGTTTCCATAATATTTGCTTAATTCATACACTAAAAAGAGGCTCTTATCTTCGTTTGGATTTGGTATTAATTCGGTATTATTGATATCCTTAATATTTGAATTTTTGAATTCTTGTTTTTTAACATTTTCATCTGTGTATAGAAAATTTAATAATTATATATTTAATATTATCTGATTTTCCGTAATACATTTTTTAGAAAATATTCATAATTGTATACATCTTACTTTGACTGTTAATTTTATTAATTTCTAGTGCTACTGCAAATTTTTCTTTCTTTACTTGATCGTCCATGTTTTCTTGTTCAATTTTTAGTTTTGTACTAATCATCTTTCTAAATAATTTCGGAAATATTTTTTCTTCTAGCATGATCAATATAGCAAAATACAAAATTGGCGTTACAGATAAATATACTATACTTTCTTCGAAATTCATATCATCCTTAAAGTCCTTAAAATAAGGCAGTTGTTTTTTGCAAACTCCATCTGCACATTCCAAACCTGAATAATAATAAATTAAATTATAATTTCTGTCGTTGACAGAGCAATTTTAAATTATATTTCATATAAACATAGCATAATCTTACCACAACAAACATCACCAGGTATAAGACAAATTATATTCTGAAACATATTTGGTAGACGACGACATCTCGCATTTTGTGCAGCTATGTTGAAAAAGGATAGCTCACCATGGAACAAACTTATATAAGGAATTAAACGAAAGATTCCTTTTTGTATGATATGTAGCGGTTTAAGCCAATTAAAACTGTGTATTACTTGATGTAAGAGAAATTGTATTAGAGCTGAAATTTTTTAAATTTACTTATTACTTGTATAACATTTATTTGAATTTTTTTTAACTAATTAATTCAATGTGAAATTTGTAATCATACTTTTAAAAACAAATATTATATATTATATATTACATATTAAATATTATATTAAATATTATATATTATATTATATATTAAATATTATATATTACAAGCTTACCAAGACCAAGAGGTGCAAGAGCCAAAATGGTTATTATTGTATTTCTTGATTTATTCATAAAACTAAATATGTAGACGACAAGTAAAGCATTAATACCAAACAACTCCAAGATTAATATCGTACATACTGCAAAAAATAGTGAAAATATGTAAAATATGTAAAAGGAGATAAAAATATGATACTATAAATCTATAGTATTATAGTGGAAGTCTTGATGTAATTTATAAAAATGACTTACATATTTCTGTTGTATAATATACATGAAGACTAAGAATAATGTCCATAATGTAGAATGCCAAGGTAATCAGCAGTACACATACTGTATACAACACAAGATCAAAAGTGAACATTGTACCCCAGTATGACAGCGACGTAACACCAGTCATACGTTGAAGTTGCTTAACTTTCGTCATTGTTTCTTGCAGAGGATGCACAACAAACAGTGCCACAGTAGGAAAGAAAAATCCACAGAATATTAAGACGCGCGAGAGCGATTCCTCTTCTGGCGCTTGTCTAGTCGAAATAATCGTATTTGGTAATTGTTGCCTGGATATAAGAATCGAGTGTTGATCACCAGCAAAAGTCTTGATAAGCGCATTACTCAAAAGATTCATTGTTAACGGTACACTATGGAATGCTATGGCAGAATAAAAACCATTAGCCAATATCGTGTTGTTTTCAGTGGAATTAAATTCGGCAGATACGATAAAATTGTTACGATATTCCGCAATATCTCGTACAGAAAAATTCAGAAGAGCTGTAAGAGATAAAAAGCTAATAAAACTATTGTTTAATGTAATTTTATCATCGTATTTGATACGTAATTATTTATTTAGCACACTTTACCATTTGCAACACTCATATCCGCTACGCGTTCTGCTTCGCCGAAATATTGAACAACATCTCTGTATTTCTGATTAATTGTGTCATTGTCTGACGAATATAAAGTTTTCGGATATTTGTACATACCGAGATTTAATGGAATAATATCTGTGGAATCTTTTGGTAAATTATAACTTGAGGCCATTAAAAATACCGACAAGATAGGAAGAATTATCTGAAAATATAGACAATGAGATAGAATGATAGAAATTCCAATTTCAATGTATAAAGAAAAAAAAAAAAAAAATATATATATATATATATATATATATATATATATATATATATATATTAATAATATAATATGTATAGTATATTTAAAGAAAGTATAAGTAAAGACAGATACATACAATCATCAATAAAGTAGTTATATTTTTCCTTGTATATGTGAATTTCTTAGCAAATAATGCTAGTATTGATTGCATACATAGCATACTTCCTGTAACTTTGCTTAATGGAGCTGTAAATAATTCATTAAGATGACTTCCATTATCTTCTTTCTTCACAATTCTAAGACAAAGAGCAAAGTATAAGAAATGAGCAACAATGCAATCAATGAAATCAATTTCAAAAAAACATACTTTAGAAAAACTTGTTCTAAAGTAATCAATGACACGCTTATTCCAGTAACTCCTAATTTTTTCTTTTGACTTTCTACTTTATCTAATGATTGTGGCAGAGAATCAGTATATGGTACATTTAAAACAATTTTTTCAGTATCAACACAAAGTTGTTGCGTCCTGATATCAAATTTACTTATAACTTTTTCAGGAATACACCAAGATTTTGTTGATAAAGTAACTTCTATATGACCATGACCTAAAATAGAGTAAAAAGTTATAATTTATTGAATAACAATTTAAATTATGTATTAAATTTAAATATTAATAAGTCTAATTATATCTTACCATACTGTTTTTTCAAAAACATTGGGGTACCATAACATTTAAGGCGACCTGAATGTACTATAGCGATTCTATCACCAAGTATATCAGCCTCTTCCATATTATGTGTACTAATTAATATTGTTTTCTCTCCTCTGAGTTTCTAAAAAATGTTAATAATGCAAAATACATATATGTACAACATATTTTAACATAGATATGCATATATTTAAAGATATTATCGGAAAAAATTCAGATCAAATGTGTGCTTACTAATATAATATCCCATGTGTCTCGTCTAGTTTCAGGATCCATTCCCGATGTTGGTTCATCCAAAACTATAGTCTAAACGTAAATTTATTTTAAGAAATTAATATATAGTATGCATTATTATATTTATATCAAAACTTACACTAGCATCACCAATGAGTGCCATTCCGAGGCACAATCTTCTCTGTTGACCACCAGACAATTTGCTAGGAAGAAAATTTCGTTTTTCAGAAAGCTTTAGCTTAGCAAGTAACTTATAAACATCTTGTTTGACTTCCAATCTAGTTTTATTCTTAGCTTTCAACTGTAATAACATAAAAACACAATATATATATATATATATATATATATATATATATATATATATATATTATAATTGTTCTTATTCTAAAGATTATTAATTATTCTTACCAAACCAAAAAATTCTACTTGTTCGAATACATTTAAATCTGGAAAAACCATATTTTCTTGAGGACATAAACCTAAATCTTTTCTAATACTATGTAGATGCTTTCTTATGTTTTTGCCATTTATAAACACTTTTCCTTCCGTCTCACTCGTTACACCTATCAAAAATAAATGGATTTTTTTGCAAAAATAACATTGTAATGTTAAGAATTATTTTGTGATGCAATATAATACCTGTTAATATAGACATAAGTGTGGTTTTGCCTGCTCCATTATGTCCAAGCAGAGCAGTAATTTGTCCCTTGTAAAAGTCTACAGAAATTCCTTTTAATGCATGAACTTTCTAAATTATGATAATTTAATATTAGTTAAATGCATTACAAATATATGATATCTATCTTTTTGATATAAGCTTACAGATTTTCGTAGCCAACTCGTTGTATATGATTTCTTAAGATCACGTATTTGTATTCCAGGTGTAAGTGCACCATCTAATACTGGTTCAAAGTCTTCATTAATTTTCTTATCATAATCGAAGTCAATAATTTCTTCGTCCAGAGATATTTTATTTTTCTTGATACACTATAAAATAAGATCATATAGCATAAAATTATTACAACCTATATGCAGTATTGCTTCTATTCCATTTTACTGATCTTTGTATATAAACTTGCCTTTAAAAAATATAATGGATTCTTTCGAACTCCGTATTTACCGGGAAATATAGCATTTATATAAACAGCAAGTGTAAAATGTATCACAGCACCCAAGACTGAGAAAAGAAATATGAAGCCTATACTTCCTACAATACCATATTCCTCGTGTCCAGGAATAAAAATATTGTTCCATTGAATACCAATTACTAAAATAAAACAAATTGCTTATTTACAGATTGTTTGCTTATATAGTCTTTAAAATATAACTTTTTTTAATAATTAACATTAATGATATAACTAATAGATAAATAAGTTAAAAGTTATTACATTTGCTTTCATATGCATTTATTTCTTGAAACAATCTATAAAACAGAATATTTGGAAATATTATACCAAGATATGATATAATTCCAAAAGCTTCTTCCCTTATCAGATTTCCATCAAGTGACAATGCTGCTACATATATGATAGCTATAGCAGTTGTCACAAAACGTGCTGTAAACAAATTTTAACAATTAATGCATTTAAAAAAATATTATTACTTACTTTGCAAAAGATTATTTACGTCTTGTAAAGTATGCTGCAATATGCATGCCAAATGTTATAAGATGACCAATGTGTGTAGTAAACATAAGCCAAAATATAAATCCATTTCCATAATGTAAATAGGCTTCAACATTTGTAGAAAAAGTAATTTTAAATAATATAGTTATTGGTACTACATAAAGAATGCTACATAATATTCCTGTAATTAACCAGCTTAATAAATTGTAAGACAATTTGACTCCATTCATCGCCATTAAAACCTGCATAAAACAATAAGGCAAATGATATTTTGCAATAATTATACAAAAACATATATATAAATGATATAAAAACAAAAAAAATTATGTACTAACATTTACACCAATAAACTTCTCTTTTGATGCATAGGTAGCTTCCACACAAAGCGGGATTACAAAAACCATAACTGCAAATGTACAAATTATTTCACGTAACATTATATCAGCTGGGTCTATTTTAATATGTGGTGGATAAGGCATTCTTTGTATTGACATCTGAAAAATATAACATGTATATCAAAAAATAATAAGAAGTATACAAGAGTATTATATTTTACCATTATCTGTGCAAGAAATATACAAGACTATTATATATTACCATTATCTATGCAGCATAAATATATTTGTTGAGACAAACACATTTTAATAATAAATTATTTATTATTAAAAAAAATGTATTCTTTTTAAGTGTATTTATGTTTTATGTAATTTATTATGTTTTAAATATATTTATATACTAATGTATAAACATATAAATGTGTATATATATTTTGTTCTACTATAATTTATTATACCTTTATGTTTGACATAGAATTTGTTGCTGCTTGATTTATAATTGCTTCATCTACGCACATCTGAACTTGCACAATTGGATTCATATCAAAGTACATTGTAGGTGATGCACTCATATGTTCTCCTAATATAGTTTGGTACAAATCATTTGGAATTTTCCAGGAATGTCTAATTTTGTATTTTGTGGTACTTTTATTATATTGTTCAAAAACAATTGCTACCACAGAAAGTGGTATCTTACTTTCTGCCTCAGAAATTGTATAAGCATTTATCATTTCAGTTTCATTAGAGAAATCTTTGACATCTGTATGAAAAAAAATAAGATTATTATATTAACATTTCTGTTAACTATTAAAAAATCCTATTAAATAATTATATTATTATACGTTATCACATACTATCATATCTTTTCTGAAGAACGCAGTAATTTTTTTTAAACAATACTTACTGTCAGGCAAAAGACTAAGACATTTTCTAGCAGATTCCATAGTCTTAAATGTATATGCATTCTTTGGCAGATAATATACATAATTTAAACCAAAATCAATTGTTTGCATTAAGTCACCTTGCGTTTGTATAGGATAATATGTACTTTCATTTAGTATAGTTGGCGGTTCAGCATTAAAATCTCTCACTGCTTGTAATAATACAAATAATCCAATGGGAACTAAAGCTTGTAAGAATAATGTCATACCCCAATGTCTCATGCGTACTATCAAGTCCTTGTATAGCAACAAACCAAAGATTTTCCATTCGCTAGCCATGTTTGTTTTAACTTTGAAGATAATTTTTTCAACTATTTATTATTAAATTATATTTAAATCTCTCTAAATAGTGTATGTACTGCTTGTCATTGAAAGTACATGAAAGCTTTTGAATAATTTATTAGAATTGATGCGTATATGTTGGCTTCAATTTCAAGCGTATGTTGGCTTCAACTTCAAGCATATTATATAATAAATGGGCTATATACAACCTTGAACATCAAAATGTAAAAGTCTTCAGTATAATCCAATATATTTCTTGTGAAATGATTTTGTAATATAATTCTTCTTTCTTAAGTATAAAACAGTGTCTTCTATTGTCATAGCAAATTTCACCTAAACAAACAATTTACATATGACACACAGTAAGCCAAAGCCACATCAAAATAGATAAAACATAATAACAGTCACATTATATTTTTATCTTAGACATTATAAACATATTTATATTTTTCTTATCTTAAGTATAAGTGTCTATAAAACTTTTCCAAATGAAATTTGAAAAAATATTTAGTACAAACGTAATATTTTAATCTATATTACTACTAATCCTAGAACAAAATCTTTATTTTAGAATATTAAATTTAATGTTTCACTGACTCAATTGTTTGACATATTTAAGAAATTTCAAAATACACATTACACATAATGTTTAATTACACATTTAGGTACAATAGATATACAAATAATATGCAGATTTATATTCAAGTGATTAACTACTACACAATGCCAAATTAGCAATTAGTACACAAAAAGTAATTTTATGATTTGCATTAAAAAAAATGCTAATGCATATTTATCTATCGATTTCATGTCTTATTTTCATATTTTATGTTCGCAATACATATGATGGTTTCATAACAATCGATATACGATATGAATAATAATTGCATGTAGAGAATACTTACGCAAAATATCGCATTATCGAAAATATATTCCGGAAACGTATATATTCGACGCAATAAAAAAGCTATTTGTCTTACAAAGCTTCATCTTATTGTATTATCAAAGTCGATAAGATAATTCTGTTTCGGATTTTGAATAAAATAAATATAAAATGTAATTCACAATAATACACAATAATACATTGATAAAGATTGCCTGATACACAACGGTGTTTGACGTCAGGCGTCAGCGTCAAACTACGTCAACTTGCTACTTGCTCCTGCCAAGCCGTTGTCCAAAATGCGGGTTCGATAAAGCAGTGGAAGGGAACTATGCACGATATAAATTAATGAGCTCTATAGTATACTGTAGTAAGTCTTTTCTATACCATCCTATAGAAAATCGAGGTCAGAATTAGAAAGAAATAGATATATTTTTGAATGGATTACTGTCTCTTTTTACATTTATTATCTAAGCTAAAAACATTTCACGGCAGATATTTACAGCAGAACAATAAAAACGTTACAGCGATACATAATTTTAGGAAATGTTTAGGAAATGTTTTTTATTTATCAATTTAATTGATGAATTAATAAAATTGAAAGTGATAGTAAATTATTTATTTTTCTCAATTCGTAAAACAGATAAAATATGGTCAATATTTTTAACAATGATAGTATAATAGAATCTTCTGAAATTCCTATAAAGATAGCGATATAGCATGTATGCATCATTTTCTACGAATTCTTATTATTGAACACATTTCAGTATACGTAGAAATCAACGTGACAGATGTATATAAAAAAATATATTTATATTATAAGAATTGGAATTATAGATAAAAAGCAATAAAATTATCATTAAAACATTGCAGTTTGATCAAGTCTCTAAAAAACTGCAAAACACATAAAGATAAAATATAATTTTATATATTGCAGGAAATTTTGCAGTTAACATTTTAGATAATTATAACATTAATATTTTTTATTGAATTAAGTGATACACATACATTATAATGATAAATAATATACATTATATAAATCTGGATGCAATTGCTATCAATTTGGTATAATCTGCTCCTTTGCTATGGGTTTTCTCCTTCATTTTCGTTCTAAGTATATGTGGGATAGGTACTTGTATTCTTGTACCCAAGGGTGTTCCATTATCATCGATAAGCACCAAATTATTAGTGTCAAATTTAGGAACTTTAGGTGCCTGAACCTGCTTTAATCCAACTAATATACCCTTTTTCTTCTCGCCACATATAGCGACTAAAATTCTATCCCCTAAATAATTTATATTACATTGAAATATATGTACATAAAGAGAAAAATTTTTCTCACAAATATTTTATTTGCATTTTCTCACCGATATAACCAACTCCAACTTTGTTATAAATGTGTATGCATCGTGGTGGCTTGCCTTCCAACATAGCTTTCTTCCCTATTGCGCTATTATCTACTACTCTCAATCGACTTAGTTTAATTATCTGATTTACAGGAGCTGACGTAGAAATGCCCCTGCTTGTAATATTTAATGTTGTGACGGGCAACATTATCCCAGAGGTTGAGAGACACCTTCTCCTTAAAACAATCTGAAATACAACAGAAATTCCATAACATTGTAACATAATCTTCGCCTTAATTCAGAAAAAAAGATTTATTTTTTACCGGCCTTAAACCGGTACGGACGTGTTTTACGTGTGTGACCTTTGGACAAGAATTTTTGAGTTTAACCTTTTACGAGGACTTTAGCCGTGATAAAGAGAATAGTCTAAAAAGGAATAAGAAGAGAAAGAGAAGAGGAAGGGAAAGAGAAAAAAGAAAAAGAGATATGAGTGCCTAAATAATCACAATAGGATTAAACTGGTTGAAGGCACATTAAACTTTTATTTAAAAAAAAAAAAATCAAAAAAAAAGATTAATATCTCTACGTATATAATGACAAGTTATTAATTTTTTGTCGGATATTTTTAATTACACTTACCTTAAAACAAAAGCTCCCAGCTTTGTGAAATTTCAATCGAGATAGGATCAACAAATCCTCGAACGGGTTCTTGTATCACAACAGAAGTCGTAATCGCACCGCGAGGGTTTTTACATAACCTTAAATTCGCTGTAACCTACAAATCGTCGAAATAGTAATTGCGGTATTTTTGTTACAATCATGAACAAGATACATCGTCTGGAGAGAACATTGACACATTTGCGATCTCTCAACATCTTCAGAGTGAATTCTACGAGGTGTTTTAGTACGGGGAAAGATTCAGAGGGAGAAAGCAACGACTCGCCGATCTCGGAGTGCGTTGTTGACAAGAAAGAAATTCAAGTAGAGACGAAAGAAAATACAGAAACAACAACGAAGCCTGAGAAAAAATTGAGCGGCTTCGCGCAAAGTTATGAAAAGTTCTCGCACATTAATGATAAAGTTCCAGAGACACCCAAAACATTTGCTTCTCTGATTCGCAACTCCAAATTTGTCGATGTAAATATTCCTTGTGTTTTATTACATGAAGTATATTTAGTCTTTAAGTAATATTTGTCCTTTACAAAGTATGTAATATTGATCTATGATTTTTTGCAGCTGGGAGATCCTGAAGGAAAAATAGTAACTGGAGAGATCTTTCATGTGGTCGATGATGATCTATACATTGATTTTGGATGGAAGTTTCACTGTGTTTGTCGGAAACCTGTCAAAAATGGGCAGTGCGTGTCTAAATTTATCTTTCTCTTTTTTAAACAAATGTTTCATTTCTTTAAGCGATACATGTTGTTATGCGTATTACATTTATTATTTTAGGTACTACGTGAGAGGATCAAAAGTTAGATTAAGAATAAAGGAATTGGAATTATCAAGCAAATTCTTAGGTGCAACTACAGATGTAACTCTTCTAGAAGCTGATTGTATTTTAATAGGCTTAATATCGTCACCATTACAAATGGCAGAAAAGAAAACAAGGGTCAGTAAGCCAAGAATACAGAATTTCTAATATCAATTAAGTAATATCTATGTTGAATAAAATCTATTTAACACGTACGCAATATGTATGGCATATAATTTAGAGTGTCTCTTTTCAAAACAACTATTATGAAGTATGTTATATATACATTGATAGTCTGTGTATACATAGATTTTAACAGTCTAATTTTTTAATTAGACAGTAACTGTTCTAAACAAATTGCATTGTATTTTTAAAAGCATAGTATATTTAGTTTTAAATTCTATTATTTTCTCAGATTATTATATTTTTTATATGTATATTGCATTTTACGTTTTATCATTTTATCTTTTAAAAGAAATGCTCATCCCTGACAAATTCAAATGATACATAATGTTACTAGATTAGAATTATGTTTGAAAATGTCACCAACGTCAAGGAAATTTGATTGACCAATCGAAACACTGATTCTTCCATCCTGATTGGTCGATCAATTTCTCCTCTAACAACGAGTTTTCGACCGCAAATCAATCGAAGCGCTGTGATTGGTGGACGCGTATCACGTGAGGCCGCGAGGTAGAGACCAAAAACGCTCGCGAGAGGCCAGTCTCGTCACAGTCGTCGTTGCAGTAGCAAGTGAAGGTGTTCCTTTTTTTTGGTTTTTTTCGTTTCTTTTGATATCGTTGTTTCGCGCGTTTTCCTTTCGCTCGCGTCTTTAGCAAGCGAGGAAGATTCGCAAGTGGTATGGGTGACGAGTCGTACGGTGGCATATCCTGTGACAGTTCTGCCGTGACACGTGAATACGCGTGTATCGCGTCTCTGTAAGGCACCTGTTCCGCCTGTTTTACATCGCCAAATCGAGCGACGGATGTTAACCTAATCAGTCGGCAGTTACTACGTGGACAGATATTCAATTTGCAAAGGTCTGGTGAGACGCACGGTGAGTACCTTGTGTTGTGTGTGCGTGATATTGCGCATTCTTTTATTTGTATTCCACGTCCGACGTGTGTCGTCACACAATCGTGTCTTGTTTCTTTCTCTTATCTTTTTCTTTTATCGCTTATCCGCAAGACCGCAATATTCAATTAACGTGGAAACGCACGTATCGTATTTATGTTAATTGCTGTTTGAATCATACTGTACAAATATAAAAAAAATGTGTACCGAATGTGAATTATCTATAAATGTTTATAGGCTCGTACATTATGCAGATTTCATCTGGCATAGGTGAAGGTTAATTTTTTTATTTAATCAATTTATTTTGCAAATCTTGATTATTAAGCAATTACTATTTTTCTCTGTAAGATTACACATTACATATGTATGTATAAAGTTATTAAAAAATGCATATATATATATATATATATATATATATATATATATAAATACATGTTAAAAAATATAGAATTTTCTTTTATATCATTAAAAATAATTTTTAATTTAAATTATAATAAATAATAAAAAGAATAAATTATAATAAAAAAAATATGGATCTCGTATATTATAATTTTGGACATAATTATAATATACTAATTTTGCACAAAAGATATTGACTATTTATTTATATATTTTTTTAATATCGATATCGTGCAAATAATTTAAAATAAAATATTAATATTTTATAATAAATGTGCACGAAATTACGTATCTGTACAAACTGAATAACATAAGATTTTTTATGAATTATTATTTTAAAATAGATAATTAGAGATTTTTTTAAATATTTATTTACATTAATCAATAAATTTGCTGTGAATTACTATTTAATTAAAAGCGAGCATATAATAGAAAATGCTCCGGGGAAATTATAACGCGGTAATCAGTGAAAGGAAAAATTTATTCGCGTAATAAGACCTGTAATAAGCTCGTGCGTATCTATGTGTATTCATCTATGTGTATTCAGTTTTCATATTATTTGAGTCTGCTGTAGAAAACGATCTTGTGAAAAATTTTTTCTTTTGATTATTTTCAAATGTCTTTGTATTATTCATTTTTTATAATAAACATATGGAAACTATTATTAGACATCATACACGGGAAATCATACACGAGAACTTCATACACGAGAAATTCATATACGAGAACTTCATATACGAGAAAAGAGCAATTATTATTAGACTATTATTTTTTATAATATAAATATGGAAACTATTATTAGATGTTACCTCAATTGAATTAATCATCGATTAAGTTAATCAAAGCTTTATCAACGTGATTCTGATAAAATATCAATGCTCCACGACAGTTAACATATTATGTTAACATATTGTTTTCGTAAAAACTTTTGTCTTAATGTTTTAAAATTCAAGTATTTTCTAGATTATATATAAATCTTTTCTTCATACAATATATATTATAAAATTTAATTCCAAAAAGTCCTAAATCTTTGTTAATTCAAACAATTTTCCTTTTACCACAATTTTACTTTGGTTAAAATAATGAATTTATCAAGAAAAGAAATTATCTTTTTGTAAGATAATTTTTCTTAAATTTTTTAAGATAAATATTTTTTAAAATTTATATACGAATATATATAATCGAAAATTGTCATTATCATTACCTAATTTAATAATATGTATTAATTATTAGTAAAATATTTAATATTAAAAATTACATTAAAATATTACTATTTACTTTGATTAATCAATTTATTTAAAATTCTGTTGCAAAAAGATAAAAATAAAATAGCAAAAATCTCTATTTCAAAAAAATATCTTATGTATTTTAATCGATTATCGTACTATTTTAATGATGAATCACACGTTTGTTTAAACGCAGCGCAACGAAAATATATCCGTGTTCAAGGGTCAAATAATGTAATATAAGAAACATAGAAACACTCAGAAAAAAAATGGAGTACCTATTATATAATTATATAATTCGTTTAAATTGTGAAATGTCTGAGATTACGATACACAGCTTTCTATGTAGAGCTCTGCTGGCAAATATATATCGTGTCTGTATTACTTAACATCCGCTCAACTTTCTATTTGTACTCGATCACACATATGTATGCTCATGCATTATTTACATTTAAATGTTATTATAAGGAAGTATTGCATTCTGTTCTGTACTATATAACTGTTTACTTTAAAATTTTCAAATTTCACAGATTTCTTGATTCTTTAGTAGATGATTTTCCCGGTATACAATGTTGTTGTTAAAAAATGTATTAAGGAATAGGCTATATGTTTTGCGAATAGAATATTTCGAAAGGCTTTGTTTTGGGAATGAAATATCGCGATTCGAGATTAGCATGTTTGATTTGTCATAAAATTCGAAAAATTCTTATCGTCAGAAGACTGAAAATTTCTTCTTTTTTGATCATAAATAAAAAATATTAATAGCAAATAATATTACTCAATCAAAACCGGATCAATGAAAGATCGATATCTCGCTTTAATCCGGTTTATTTCTAATCTTCAATATTTTTACAACTATCTATAAAGTGTAAGATAATATTCTGTAAGGATGCAAACACACGTGTGAGAATAGATTTAAGTAATAATTAATAATGAATTTGATTCACATACATACATATAGAGTACGATTATTTTATAAGTCATTCATAATTCACTATGGCAATATGGATCTTAATTAACGCAGCAAACTATAATAATAAAATTTTCAATACATATCTCATATTTCAAAAGAAAGATCGAAAGCGCATAAAAAAGTTATAAAATTTAAATTTCCAAGTGTATAACCATCCAGAATTTATTACTTTTACATTTGGATGTTACACGTCCTATCGAAAATATATAGTAAAGTTTTTTTTTCTTAAATGTTTTAATTTTAAACAATTATGTCTGTATAAAATATTCTGCTTTACTTTAAAACTTCATTTCGAGATTTTCAAAAAACGCAGTTTGTTTTTAAATAATAATGTTTGAATTTTTCAGAATTCTTTGGAATTTGGATATTATAATATGTATTGTATCAAGAAGGAATTTATTTATTTCTCATATATGGCCTAGAAAACATTTGAAATTTTAAAACATTAAAACACAAAAGTTTTTTACGAAACATGATTTGTTAACAATCGTGGAGCATTGATACTCTATCTGGATCACGTTGATAAAATATTGATTAATTTAATCTATAATTAATCTAATTGAGATAACATTGTTTAAAGAAGAATTTTTTCGATTAAATGGTTCCTAATCTAATTTTTCTCTTCATGGAAAAGACAAATAAAATTAATAATTTTTATTCATATTAATAATATCGTAGTAGAATAATTTATTAATATTCCTATAATTTATATCAATATAAATTAATTGCCGCAAGTTAACGATGGAGAGGATTATTTGAATAATTAATGTTATATAATATTACATATTATATATGAAAGTCAAAGAAATTTAAAGTAGTATAAAATAATAAATTAAAAAAAATAATACAAATATATAAATGTAAAATTAAATAATAAAAATATTACGTATAATTTTCGATATTTAACATCGTATGAATTGGAAAATTTATTAACATAGACTTCCAGTCTGACATGATAATAATATAATTGTATTAATTAATAAATAGACGATTATAAATTATAAATTACACGAACGATTTGATATCTCACGTCGTACATTTTATATGTGCAAATATATGAATGTATAAGATTGATTGATAAAATACCGCGAAATGCGTATTATTTTTCGCTTTTTTATTAGTATCGCTTGAAAAACTTGTTAGAAAATGCATTATTTTTCAGTTTATATGCAAGACAAATTAACAAAAAGAAAGAAAATATGTATTCTCATCATATATATTATAAAGAATTATTATACGATGACACTTTATAATCGCGTTCAATTTTTTACGAATGAAATGATAACAAATTTGAATACATTCGCTTACGTGGCATTTTAATGGAACGTGAAAACAGAGAAGTTATCAAAAACAAAACGCGAAATATAAAATCAGATATTGTTCGATACTAATATTAATTTTGCGCATCTTACATGCTTAAAAACTTTTAAATGGATATTCTTTAATTTTTATTGGAAACGCAAGAACAAATTGTAAAATTATATATATATATATATATATATATATATATATATATATACATACACATACACATACATATATACATATACATATACTTATTCATCCATATAAATATTTTTCTGATATCCATATAAAAATATCTATTATTAATTTATATTATAAAAATAAAATTTTAATTCACATAACGATCTTAATTTAAGAAATATACATATGCAGATTATTATTTTTGCATTAATTAATTTAATTAATTATATAAATGGAAAAAATATTAGCTTTACGTGATACATATTCACAAAAAATGTGAGAGTATATTTTAAATTTTAGAATTCAGAGCTTTTAGAAGGAATAATAATTTTCTTACACATGCATACATATACACATATCTAAATGTATAATTTGTTAGCTAAAACTTTTTTATTTCTTTCCAGGAAAAATGGAAAAGAACATTGGCTTGAGTGCTCCAGCCTCGGCTCCTCTACCAACGGCTCCACCATCTTACGAGGAAGCTATAGCTAATACAGGAGCACCTTTACATCCTCCAATTGGTTCCACACCATATCCCCTGGGAACTGCGCCAATACCAATGCCAATGCCATGTATGTAATATATTCTAAAAAATAATTAAAAAATCAAAGGTTATTTAAATTTAAAAAAGTATAACTATATATGTGTGTGTACTCTCTTTTTAAATTGTTTTTTTATATTATATATTATATTATTTAAAATTATATATATTTCGTTTTATATTTGTAAAATCATTTTTTTTCCAAAGTTTTGTATAACAAAAAGTCATGTTATTGGATGTAATTTTTTTTATTTATTATGTTCAAGAAAATTGATCTTGAAAAATTAATAATATATTTATTTTTTTTAAATTTGAATATATCTTTTTTCTGTAGGGAAGTATAATATATATACATATAATAATTTAACTAAATTATGTATATAATACAATTTTAGATAATCAACCGCCAAATCAAACGACGATGCCAATGCCTTCCCATGTATACCCAGGTTCGAGTCACTCTCAGCCTCCTTTTAATGCCGAGCCAAATTCTGTACCGCAGTCGGAAGTACGAGTTGTTCATCATGTAACGTACGCTCTAGGACCGCATTCTGTAAAAATGTCCTGTCCATCATGTCATACCGATATCAAAACTACTACGATATCGGATCATCAGCCCAGTGCTCACATTTGCTGCATTGTGCTCTGCTTACTCGGGTAAGTGATGTTTTATTACTATTTTATTTTAGATATCTCTCTCTCTCTCATCTAATACAATTTTGATCGTTACATTAAAATGTATATTTATTCATTTATTCTTTTATTTAATTGTTTATTTTATTTATCACTTTTTAATTGTTTATCAAGTTTTATAGAAAATTTTTTTAAATGTTTTTATTAGTTACCAAAATGTAATTTATCATCTTTAGAATGATAGTTTATGTAATACATATTTCCTGCGAGATAAAGTTTTGTCGTGGCGAAAAAAATATATATTTATGAAATATTATTTCATTTCATGTATAATTTAAATATATTATAAATGATAATCTCAACCATTGATAAATTTTATAAAAATAATTATAAATTTTGTTGATCTCTTGTTTCAGATGTTGTCTCTGTTCATGCTTGCCATATTGTATGAGCGCTTTCATGAGTGTTCATCATTTTTGTCCAAACTGCAAAAATTATATTGGTACGTGGAAAGGTTGATTACAAGATTACAGGCGTGTATACATATGCTCCAGTTTTCTGCGTATTAGAATGTTATACAGTTCCATAAAGAGCTACTCGATATTCTTCGCTTATTATACATTAAGAATAACAAAAAAGAAGGATTGCTGATAATGTAAGTTATGTTGTTATATTATAATATACAATTCTTCTTACTTTAAAATCATTGCATTGCAAGTCATTGCATGCAAAAAAAATGATAATTTATCAAAGCCAGATTTGATTGATGCAGCGTGTCAATTGTAGATACAGACAAGAGTGAATTATGGATGAAAGTGATTTTGAATCATAATCAACTTCTATAAAATATGATGCAATGATTTTGAATCATAAATTTCTATAAAATATTAGACTGTTAATATATATAAAAGTACGTGATACAAAATAAAGTGATACAAAGTAAATGCATTAAAAAAAGAGAATATTAGAAAGAATTGCAGATATTTTTTATATAAAAGCAAAATATATTTTTATTTATATATGAAAAAAACTTATGATCTTATTTTCGTCACTAATATAAAAATTTTGGAATAAGAAATACTGATGTATTATTTTTTGTTTACAATAATTTTTTTCCTGAAATATACTGAAATATTTATTATTATCTATTTAATTTTTTTGTTTGTGAAAATTTCGGAAATTTTTACAATAATATTTAATAAAAAAATTAGTACTTTTTCATATAAAATTCAATATATTATAAAATTAATATTTTGAAAATATATAAATAATTAATCTTTGATTTTTTGTTATAAAATCATAAACAATTTATTTTGAATATTGCTGGAATATATATGTATATATATATATATATATATATATATATATATTTATATATTTATATATATATGTGTGTGTGTGTATATATATATATTAACAATCTAATATATTACATAAAAATATTTATTATATTTCTTAAAAAAGTTTTCAAAATAAATTGAGAATCATGTGTGATTTTATAAAATTTTAGTTTGAATACTTCAACTTATTGATATATTTTCGTTATTTTATGCTAAAAAGAAATATTTAAATCAGTTTTCTGTGAGAAACATTTGAAAAAAATTTATTTTTTTTTATATTATATATATTAATTTTTATTTCTTTCGCAAGAATTGAATTATATGTGTAAACAACGAGAGCTGTCTTATATATGTCTCGTGTCTAAAATGATATAATACTGTCATATATTTTTATTTTTGTACTATGAAATACGGTCTTTGTGAAGAATAGGTGGTAAGATTTACGATAAGTATAAAAAAAATGTGTTATTTTTTTTATGAAATCTGATATGCTAGAATGCAAACGTATATTTAAGTGTCTGCACATAATCTGAGTATATATATATATATATATATATATATATATATATATATATATATATATGAAAGAATAAGTGTACTGTACAAGATTTTTGCCTACGAGGTAAAAGGGGTTTTGCGAATTTCTTGTATTATAGAAGAGTAAGTATAGTATGTTAAGAGCACGTAAATTATATGTTTGAGAAAAGAATATCCTATGCATTCGTAAATAATAATTTTCGTAAATAATAGAGAAAAGAGAAATAATTCGTAAATAATAGAAAAAAGAATAGCTTATGCATTCGTAAATAATAATTTTCTGATGAAAATTATTATTTACGAATGCATAGGCTATTGAGATGAGCTGATAAGCACTAGGGCAGCAGAACTTTTCCAAAGAAGTTCCGTGTTTGCGCAATCCGATTTTCCATTCTATTTCAAATTCAATTTAAGAAAAAATTTGTAAAAATTAAGAGAAAATTTGTTTTGAGTTTTAAAAAAAGATAGAAATAAAAAGTTAGAAATAAAAAAAGCAAAATAATGAAAAATAGAATCGCAAAACATTGCTTATACATCTTTCGAGTTATTAATTAAACTTACTTGTTGTGAAACGTTTGTTTCACTATCTTAGATATGAATTTTAATTTTAGATATGAATTTTTCAAAAGTATTATTTTTCAAAGTATTATTACAAATTTTGAAAAAAAAATTTTCTTTCTCAGTAAGGCAGATATTGTCACATTGAAATATAGTCAACTTAGCTAATGAATTAGATAATTTAATATTAAAATTTTAATAATCGCTTTTTTGAGCAAGGTAGACTGAGATATATGTTCACTTTTAAAGTGGATGAGTATCGTGGTTCTACTGACAGATGACTTTTGGTTTTTTGAAATGAAGTTTTGATTATCATCCTCTTTTTTATTATATTTCTATTGTCTTTCCATCATCTATGCAAATTCTTATTTTTTGAGAATTTGTCTACGGTTAGTAGTTTTTTTTTATAACGTTACATTTTTACATATTTTACATTTACATTTTACATATTTTATAACTATAATCTATCATGTCAAATTGTAACCGCTTAGCATAGATTTAAATAAAACTCAAAATTGTATAAATTTTTTCATTCAAACACGAATATGTGTTTCTAAAGTCATCTTTACTTGATATATCTTCCTATAAGTAAATGTAAATTCTCTTTAATCAAAACTTCTATTCTATATTAACAGATTTAATCTTTTCTTTATTAACTTCTACCTTGAACGTATTGTGTGTGTGTACTTACTTCTATTCAAATTCTATCTAATTCGCTTTTATCCTTCAGATTTTTGAAGGTTTTCGAATTACATTCCTTCCCCTATTTCAATATATTTCCATTGCTTTCCATTTATTCCAATTCTCATTTCTGAGAATTTGTTTGTAAACATATATTACATATTATAAAGTTAGTCATATTATCATCGTTCAAAACGAGTTTAAATAAAACTTAATAAATTACCTAGATTTTCTCGTTCGAACGCGAGAATTTAATGTAATTTTGAGTTAACGGAACGGTAATTAGTAATTTTTTTAAAAATCTAACTTTATTAATAATTATTATTATCATAACTTTTATGAAATTTGTTAATTCTTTGATTTCAATGAGTTTGAGGTCCGGAACCTGAGATGATTGACCGCTAAGCTTAGTTCTATTTTCACATAAATAAAGCAATATACGCACTCGTGTATTTTCTATAATTTCTAATTTATTTTAATTCTTATTTTAATATTTATTACTATTCAAAGACTCCGTTCTATTTCTGTCTCTCAATCAGAAGATTAGAAAAGTACTTGCTAAATTTTTCAAAGATTGTTTTGGATATTCTATGAATATCAAATGAAAGTAATCGAATACAGAATAAATATAATACTTTGCTACTTTGAGGTATACACTGTTTTATAATATTTAGTATTTATTAATTACATTATACATTATAAGAAGTGTATTGCCTTTTACGTCTCTTTTTATCTTTGCGTAAATAATTTATAAGATTATACTTAATCAAATGATTATCAATCAATAGCAAGTAAAATTGTTAGAAATTAATTAGGGAAATTAATAAATCTTATTTTCGAATGCACTATTTTAGGCGAACGTTTTTTTTTTTGAAGTTTAAAAAATAAGTATGTGGAAGTGTAACGTAGGGATTTGGAATTGCGTAATGGTTTTTAATTTATAGCATTTATTCTCTCTGTGAATAATATACAAATATTGCGCGTGTTCGTATAGTGTGGATTGTGATTACTGGATTATATTGGAGAAGAAGAAGTAGCTAAGCTAGTTCGATTTTTTTTACTCTCGAGATAGTTTCTCTTTTCCTCACTCATTTTCTTGTTCCTCATGTGTTTCTCCTCTTTACATTTTTCTGCTCTAGTCCTGGTTTTTGGAAATTCTTTATAGCCGAAAAAAATCTGTTATAACTGATACGTGAGAATCGCAATACTCCTTTGAATTTCATGTGTTTTCTCGAGATATATGTTTCCTTGCTTTCTACATATGCAAATATGTAGAATAATAGTTACAATGTAAACTACTTTCCAATATAACATTTCCATTAGGAACAATAAGTTAGTTTTTATTTTGTACAATTATGCAAAAAACAAAGTCATCTGTATGTTAAATAATAAGTATATAAACTTGAATACTTGATCATTTTGATATTATTTTTTTAGAATTATTAATTATAGATATATATGTTCAGTATTTTATAATTTTAAGAATACAAGTTTTTTATTAATTATTTTGGATATAAATTTATATTTAATACATATATGGGAAATTAAGGCTAGAAAAAAATAATCGGGAAGTATATTCTTTATTATTATCGAAAATATTCGATCTACTTGCTCACATAGAGAAAATTGACTCTGATTTTCATTCTTTCACTCTTGTTTCCTACATTTTATCCATTATGCATTGACACACATAATTTTTATATATACATATATGCATTGTTATCCCGTTTCCAAAAATTGTAATCATTCTCTGATATGTACTGTACATAATTTTGAGACATGTTTCATTTACCGACAATCATATTATATTTTTCAATTACTTCCGATATTCTTTCAGATCTTTTCCGCTCATTCATTCTCTTAATCTCATTTTTAATATTAATAATGTTCATGAGACTTCGTTCTTTACATCGTTTATGTTTATTGAAAATATGGCTAGGAATGTTTAATTAATATATATATATATATATATATATATATATATATATATATATATATTTTGTAATTCTTATGTATTTTACCACACAATTTTTGTGTATGTATGATATAATAAAATATGTATATATTTAGTGAAGAGTGTGTCCGTGCATAAATATATTAAGTTTAGCCGTGCGTTTACCTTTTTTCTTAAGATAGATTATATTTTAGGGGTATAGATATATTTTGTAAATCTTTATTATATTAAAGAAAAAGACTTATCCTTTATTTTGATTTTTAATTTTTATTTTTGTTTCTAATGCGTACAGTATATCGAACAAACTCGAGTATATATGTTCTTGTTTGTAATGAAAAAAGTTTATAATTTATCGAAAAACTACGCTACGTATATATGAATCGATTGCTCTTTGGAAGATATTAATTGGAGCATGAAATTTGTTCTATATACAGATAGACTTAGGTGTGCGAGTGAAATATCACCGTTATATATCGGCTCTGTAACCAACGTTACCAAAAATTTTACAAATGATATCTATAGTAAAGTCTTTTGTTGCGAACATCAATAGTTATTATCAAAGAACAAGTCGCGCATTATTTACGCATATAGTAATAAGTATAAATACAATTTGTTTCGGGATTATAATCGTGTTATAATTATAAATTTATACGGTAAGCCAGCGAATCGTCTTTCTCATTAAATTACGTTTATATTTTTAGGCCAATTTCTAGAATTCTGATAATGTTGGAGTTTGGAGTTATATATGCATATTACACATTTTAAAAATATCATCAAAACTGTATATAATATCTAGATATAATTGAATCTTTAAATAATATGTAATAATAATATATGTATGATTGTGAACTAGGTTTCGCATAAAAAGATATTTCTCTTCGATCGGATTTCTCGACATGGACTATCACAACTTTATTATATTCAGAAAGATTATTCGCCGCTTCCCTTTATATTATTAATAATATATTAGCAAATAGAATCACATCATTCTATGAACATCTACCCCATAGTGTCTAACAAGGGGTCCTGGCCGGGTGGGAGAAATTGTTGTTGAGCAACTGAGGAATATTTCGTGTCGATCGGCTTTGTGTCATCGTAAAGAGCCGGTGCTTCGCATAGAATTGTAAAAGTTCCAACTATGGAGGCTATCGTAAAGATCCATAGGAAGAGACGATCGAGAACCATTGCGACAAAACCCCAATCTTGATCTTCCTGTGATGGTACAAAGTAGAACATATAATTAATATATAGAATAAAACATGTAAAAGTTACACTTAAATATCTATCTAAAAATTTTACATTATATATTTTTATATTTTATATAATCGAATAATTTTAAATGAATTTTTTTTCTCTAGTGTCACAGCTGTTTTCTTGAATCGTGGAATTTCTTACAATTTCATATCTTATTCTTCAAGAACAATAGATATATTTAGATTTTTTTTTTAATTTTTTGTAATATATTTAATATAATATAATTAGTAGTATTTTATAGAATGTTTACCGCATTGAATTCGTCTTGACGTTGTATATGATGCTGAATGAACATGACATTATGTAAAGCTTTTTCCAATTCGAAAGGATATTTTTTTCTCGGCGTTACATCACTCAATGACTCATCGAGACCGGACATAACCGTTGGAAGCCCGTTATATCCTAAACTGCCGACTAAAAATCGATTATGGGCAGTTGTCCTGTGTAAGCCATTGCAACCTAAAACCGATTATGCTATAATCATCATTTAATATATTAAATATATGTAATATAAGAAATTAATAGAGAATATTATAGAACATTTATTAAAATAGGAAAAATAATCTAAATTAGTGAATCGAAAGTTGACATATACAAATTTCTATTAAAAAATAATAACGTTTATAAAAAAATTCTCTTTCTTTTACGTCATGCTGTACTGAAGATTACGAAAATTATAAGAAAAATTTGATTAGATTCTTAAAACAACATAAAGTAATTTAAAATAATAAAATTTGATTTTTTTTTAATTCTTAAAATAAATAAAATAAGATGGAATCTGTATTTTATCTGTTATTTTAGCGAATAATTTAGAATTTATCAAAAGGAGTTTAAAGTAATTAAATTCTCCATTTATGAAATAAATTTTAAATGGAAAGAATTTATAAAAGAATCGTACCATCGATTCGTTGATGGCGGGCAGAATCTGGCGAAGATATTATTGATGACGATTGCGCCGCTGCTGCTATAGCAGCATTGAACTTACTCTTCTTTCCGGATCTTCCTCTTCCGTGTATCTTGTGCGCGGCGAGATCACTGAGAATATCATCGGGTACTCTCATCAGAAGCAGTTTCGGCAATCTTCTGATGAAGATCTTTCTCACCCAAGGTGCCATTTTGTGAGTGCTCGGTTTACGATAATGCACATTCAGGATAATGATCGTTATCACGACCGACAAACCGACCAGGATCATCGTAAAGAGCAGATACTTGCCAAGCAACGGCAGTGCTAGCGATGTGGATGGTATGATCTCGGATATCAGTAAAAAGAACATGGTCTGGGATAGTAGGATATTAATGCAGAGCGCGATCTTTTCTCCGGAATCGGCCGGTAAATAGAAAGCCAACACTGATAGATAAGAGATACTGACGCATGGCACGATGAGGTTCACCGTGTAAAACAATGTCCTCCGACGTAAAGTTATGTTGAAGAAGATATCGGGATATGGTTCGACACAACAAGGATAATATTTCTTATGACGTTCCGCGGGAACACCCAGTATATCCCATTCCACGCTTGGATAATATTCGCGCAAATCAATACCTACTTTAACTTGGTCGCCTACATCTTGATTAATATGCTTCAAATCGATCTGAAGAAAATATATTTCGAATAATTATAAATAGAAAATACATTAGAAAGATTCTGCATTCGATATTCTTACAAAATATGAATAAGTGAAAAAAATGATTATTATATAACGAATAATAATTATGTGTATGTGATCTCATATTTTTATAAGTATAGTTGTTTTTCTTAACAAATTTACTTACTTGAAAGCCATCATATGTCCACGAGCCGAATTTCATGAAACAGGTTTGTTGATCGAAGGGAAAGTATCTAACATCTATTTCACAGGAAGATTTGAAAATTGCGGGAGGTGTCCAAAGAACCTTGCCAGTGTAATGCAAAATAGCTTTAGTCATTGTTGTTACACCGTATTCTCCGTCCGCGCTGAAAGTAAGTTTATTATTTCAACTTGAAATACTTATAAATTTTTTTTTGTAAAAATATAATATAATATAATTTCCATATAATTTCTGAGTGAAAAATTAATAAACGTAGATTTATTATTTTGAGTTGATAATTTAATAAATTTTTACATATATATGATACACTGTATAATTTTTAAATGAAAAATAAATAAACCTTAGAGAGAAGGAATGTATTTTGCAAGAAATCAAAATTATTTTCGCTTAATTATTTTTCAGTCACGATAATTATAAAAAAGCGTCACGTACTTGTTATAAAGCACAATATCGGGTAGCCATATATGTTCGCTAGGCACGTAGAGTTCAGTGACACCCCCGTATTCCAAAGGATCCCATTGGAACTTATGGTCCTGCCATTCCTGAAAATATTATTTTGCAATCGACTCTTTCGTAATTTAAATTGGTCCGCAACTAAAAATTGATCAAACTTTTTCGCTTACATAATAATTTGCTTATATTAATACTTACATGTTCCAACCAGACGTTTGTTGTTAAGATTTGATCTTTTAAATTCTGTAAATATAATGAATGTGTGAATTTCATTAAGAGAACAGATATATAAATAAATAATAAAATATGCATATGAATTAAATTTATTAATATAATTTCCAATAACGATAAAATGATATTTGATCGTGTAAAATATATGTACATTACGTACAAGATCTATCAACTGTGAGAGACGAAGACCTAGTTTTACAACAACGGTGTCGTTATTGTTCGATACAGGTCGAATGAGCCGATTGTAATTTGAGAGTAGATCATCGTAAAGTCTTTTAGCATCTGGATTGCTATAGCAAATCCCCACCGAAAGAATCAGGATGATTAAAGGGAATATCATTTTTTACTAAAGTGTGATTAAGCAGAAATCATCAAAAGCATCCTGCACAGAAACATCAAATAAAACGACATCAATTTATTTCGTGTTAATATATAGCTTTATTTCGTACATAAATTTATTAGATATTTGTGAAATATTATTATTTAAAAAGATGTAATATCAGTTTTAAGAGTAATATACATGATGTGTGCACGTGCGTGTATATAATTAAATTAAATTAAATTGATATTTATTACTTTATTTAGAACACTTTACAGAAAACTTTATATTAATTTTTTTAAATGTATATATTTAAAAAATTGTATTCCTTAAAATCTTCTTTAAAATCTGTCTATAAACTTATGTAAAATAATTTCCTGTTATTTAAAAAATAATTATCAAATAAAAATTTTCGCGATCGAGATTATGATTCTTTTTTTTTATTAAAGTTTTTATTCTTTTCGTTGTCAGTTATGAGATTTTAACTTAATTTATATATCATTAATGTTTATATATCGATAATTTTACTAAATTTTTCGAGTTATTAGTTATAGAGTAATACAAACCTGTTGCGTTAAGTCGTTTACTCGTATTAATTTTTATGAAAAATATGTCTTAATTATATATTAAACTTTTATATTAAAATATTAGTTTTCTTTTAATTAAAGTTTTTAAATCGTTAAAGTTTTGAAAAAAGTTTTGTTAAACTTTTTGATAAATTTAGAAGTTTATAATAATTTTTTATTTTACTTATGACAGCTCAATGATTTTTTATTATTATTAATGCATTTTGATTATTAATAATGCAAATTTTGTATAGATTATATTTATATTTATTTTATATACATATATGTTTCAACAATTTTTAAATATTGTAAAAATATATACAGAGAAATATAAGAAAATTTGTGTGAAGTATATATTATTTTCAACAAATATAAAAAAATACATATGACAGTATTATATTTAACAAAAAATAATTTCTTCTATGCATCTTTTTGTCATAATTTACTGTAATTAATTTATTATCCGTATCAAGAACAAATTGAAAGTATATTCTAAAGTTAAAATTATTTTAATTACTTATTGTACTTTTACAATATTTATTAATTTTGTTCATCGAGTCATTATATTTTATTATTGAAGCCAAGAATATTATTCAAACGTAATCTAAACTATCATGATATACTTGCGCTTCGCCTTCCTCGATTTTCTCGTTACACGCTTTCTCTAAATATACGACACCTTTATCTCCTGCTCTTCTTGTTTATCATAATCTGCCTTGCTAAATATGTCCGATCTCTAATGCGCGTTTATCAATCAGTGATACGAGTCAGACTTTGTTCTGGTCTTTCATTATTCGCACGGATTGTCTCGCTCGCGAAATACCGGAAGAACGTCGAACAGAAATGACATTGTGTACAGCCGCTGGACCACTGGATGCTGGTACGTGTATCTTCAATCCGCAGGATCAATACAACATTGCGCATGTACCAGCATGGCTGGTTCTTGGTCTCTGCGCGATGTGAATGCACCTTCACCGCGCAAACTCGCAGTGTTCTACTGCGCCACTTCGCAGTAGAAAGAGACGCGCAAACCAGCCGGGTCTCGATGCCTTCCTGGGAGCACTACGCCCTTTCCGAATGATTCTCGTGGCTTTACTCATTAATTGTTCTCTATTTATCGTCTAATATTTATTTAGAAAAATGCTGTAGCAAAATTAATATTCAATTTGTAATAAAACTATATTAGATATTTTAATTAATATGTTTGCTTCTATAAATTGATTTTTACAAAAGAGAAAAAAGAGAAAGTATATGTGTTGATAATTCCTTTAATCAATTTTGCAATCGAAAAATTGTGCAATCCGAAATGACATTAAGCTTAATATAAGCCTTTATCATTGCAAAAAATAAAGATTTTACTTGCTTTGTGCAATTTCATGGAGAGACGATTAATACTAATCATTAGAGTTCAAACTGTGGTCAATTTCCTTTAGAATGAACTTTTTCACTGTTGTTTCATGACTATAGAATCGCTTCATCAATGTTTCTCATGCTTTACAAATTATGTAGCGATAACTTTTGATTATTCTACGTTTTTCAAGCATCAGCTTTAGTCCTTTTACCGTATATATAAGCTCAGTGATAAACCAGCTTATCTTTCCGGATTTTTTTTTTATTATGAGCTATTACAGCTACCGTAGCGGACTCACTTTCGAGTGTTAGAATCACTGGTAGTTTCCTTTTTCTCGTGTAAATGCAATGTACGCTTGTATATTGTATGTTGTATACATTTACATTTCCACATTTTGCGCTTTTCTATTTGTAGCATTAACATCGTTTTAAATTGTCGATGATGTTTCAATGCGACTATACGGTTCTACTTTCTCACACTTATACAAGTCGTTTTTTAAATATGTAAACTTATTTCGCTTGCAAACAAAAGTGCATTTTGTTATAAGCGCAAATCTTTTAAGTAAATGGAGAATAAAATGGTAATCTCTTTTTGTTATAATGCGCAATTTCTAGGATATTTTACTTACTTATTATTATGATTGTATCTCTCTGAATAATTGATAGAAATTATAAACAAAGGCTAAAGAAATATCTATTTTTAAAATAGCAAAGCGTATAGCAACAACTTTATAGAGGGTAAATAAATATCTATTCTTAACGTGTGTGTAGGAAAAATACAACATCTTACATGAATAATTTATGCGTTAGAAGAAAACAAATGGATATATTTAAGATTATTACTTAAAAGGAAAATATTGGAATATAAAAATATTAGTCACATAAAAGAGTTTTATTAAATACACTGTTAAGCTTAAACTCAATTTATAGGATAATTAACAGAATTTTATTTGTCATGCACATACATATGGGGTGCAGTAATGAATAAGATTATTTTAAAAAATTTATTCTAAATTATATCGCGATTTTTAGAGATTGTCTAGAATAAACTTTGTTTTGCATGAACTCTATGTAATGAAAACATTTTGTTAACTGTCGAGTGCACGATGCTTTCATACATAGCCAGGCATCCAGCATTTTTCTTTACAGTAAGGTCGAGACATCGTACGTTCGTCCATTACAGCACTTTGTTCTTATGCGTAAGCTATTCTTCTACGTTTATATCTTTTGCGCTCGCTTCGTACTCTGCCTTATGGGCTTTATGATAAACGCAACTGTTTTTCCGCATTTTCCCTTTTCTCTCTGCCTTCCGTTCATGTTGGTAAGACAGCGGTAGGAAAACTGCAATGCCATTCTTGAGTGTAATACAAGTTGGGCGGGATAGATCCTTCCGAGCTACATATTTTGTTGTACGTGTCTCAGCCTAGCATGGACGGATACGTGCAATCGCATCGAATGAATTCTCAGGAGGACTTGTGCAAGGGATCCATATTTCGCGAATATTTTCTTTGATGCATCATTTTTCCTTACGACATTATTAAACAACGTTTCACATCATATACCTCTTTGCGATACGCTCTCTGAATATATGACCTAAATATTTAGTCGACCAAACAACTATTATACTCTGAATGCGCATAGTCTGCGAAAGTTATCAGCGTCGCTTCCATCCTAAATTGCACCATTTACCCTGTCTGTTCCTTAATTGCAGGAAAGTTAGTCGAACGTATTTGAAGTTTCTGACGACATGATCGGATTTTGTTCTTCTGCGGTCATGTATCGGAAGACAGTTACCCGATGTTTAGCAACTATCCTCGTAAAGTGAGCCTGCGAGGACCTCGTCGGACCTTGCTCTCCCTCCTCTTACCACGAATTATTAATCAGAACTGGTGGCTGGAATCTGGCGTACATAGAAACAATCTTCCTTAATCACGACGAAAGTTGTACCGTGTTTGAAATTTCCGGCATCGAAGATAAGGCAGATGGATAGAGAAGCGCGAGAGAAAAGCAGAGAGAAAGAAGAAAATAAAGACAATTTATGATATGAGCAAATGGAAAGAAAGAAAGAAGATTAGAATTGTCGACACACAATTTAAACATAATCGTAGCTGAAAGAAACTGTTACGTCAGGAATGGTTGGTTTTCGGGACATGGCGGTAATTAATGTGACCTCACACATCGGGCGATCTGCCATCGTATATTCTCGCTTCGACTCCCTGTTTCCCGTGCTCTCGTACAGAGAAAACTTTCAGGGAGATAAGCCAAAACCCCATTATAGTTAGATTTACCCGCTGTGTGCCTCGAACAGTCGCGCGAGATCTCTCGTTCTATCTCTGTTCCACCGACTGTATCTGCCATTCGCTGTCCGCTTTCTTCGGGGGTCTTTAACCCCCAAGATAATGACCAGAATAGTGTTGGAGTTTAAATGAGTGTTTGCGCGCTCTCGGTAAATTATGGTGACCTCTTTCGAAGCGCTCATTGCTATATATGTGCACAAGCGGTGTTCAGAAGGTGCACCGTCGTCACATTTCATGCTTGGCTAATTAATTATTGTGCAGCGTGCGTTAAAATAGTGTCTTCACACCCTTCTCCGTTCGATGTGCGCCACGCGCCGATATTTTTATTCATTTCCTTGCGTAGTTGATTAGCTTCCTTTTTGCTCGATGTTGAATTATACGCGACTATAACGAGAAGTATATTTATTCTCTCCTCTTATCCAATTTTTAGTAAATTTTTTTATGGAAGAAAATGTTGTATATTATATTAATTATTACAATTGAACAATTATTGATGCGTTATTAATATTTCTTATAGTGTGAAAATTAATTTTTACTTGAGCAATTAATGGGAAATCTTTAGATTTTAAATATACAACAGATTCTGAAAGTATATTTTCCATATAAGCATGATTAGTTTTTAAAAATATAGCTCTTGTTTCAAACTATCTTTAAAACATATATGAAACTGTTCATTTATATAATATTAGAATAGAAAAATACAAGAGGAGAAACATACATGTAATTGCTTTTACATTTTTATCGTGAATGCAGTTTTGATTGGTCAGCTTTTGCAGTGACTATTTAATTATTGCCATTGTCATTTAAAAGCTAACAGTCACTGCTATTTTTCAAAATGTTTATATCGCCATCAACTTTTCAACTTTATTGTATACATGTCACTTGATAGACATACTATGTATATTTTACTTGATTGACATACCAGATATTTTAATTATATCGCACGATCGAAATTGAAATACTGATTTGTTTAAAATTGAAAATAGTTATTTTCAAATAGTTTAATATTGATCCTTAAAAATTTGAAAACAATTTTAGAAAACAAATGTAAAAAACATAATTAATTTTGAAGAAATAGCCAATTTTATATTTTCTGTTTGTATCAAAATTGTTAGAAACTTTTAATTTAAATCAAGATTGATAATAATATGTTTCGATAGAGCTCTATCTAGAATTGCTAGTAAAACGTCATGTAGGAAAAGAATTGAAAGTTAAAAGATTTTATTATAGACAATTGGAGAATTTTATTAAACTTTCTATATTTTTTGTTGTTGTTTTAAATATTAATTGCTAAAATTTATTATAAAACATAATAGAAAGAGGAAAGAATAAAATTCTTTAAAAAGAAGAATCATTTTTAATAATATGTATTACAGTATATTAAAAAATTCTGATATAATGAATATTATATATTTTTAAATGGTTTTGTCTCATAATTAACTTTATTAATCATGCGTCATAATATCAAAAGAAAATTCTCGATTTAAAAATTTTTCGATCGTTAACGACTCGAAATCAAAACAGATCGTTTATAAATTATCGCAATTTATTTAATTAATAGTCAATTACGTGTCTCAATATAGTTTTAATATTATTTAAATAGCTTTTAATATTGTTTTTGTTGTTTATTAAAGTGTATTTTACCAGACTTGTCCGATTGAAATCTATTACGCAATTAATCAGCGAAACTGCAATTATATTAAATTTTACGAATATATTTTTAATCTTAATTTACTGTTATTTATGTGTGATTGGATGTGTATTTATTCATTTTCTTACGTTATAAAGTTACAAAACGAAACACTTTGAAACGCGAGCGTATGTATTACTTGTCATTTAAAATTTGAAAAGTGCGCGAAAGTGCAATTAGGAGCAACAGGTGTAGTATGCCTCGGCGCGGCGGGTGGCGCGTGAAGTCGGCCGCGCGATTTCCGAATTCTCGGCGTTCAAGATTCATTCGTTACGCAAGTTTGTGAGACGCGCGAGTGCGAATCGTTATTCCTTCGTTGCAGCGTAATAAACTAGACTTCGCGATTTAATATCGGTAGTGTCGAGTGTAAAGTGTGTCGCGCGATCATATTTTCCTTATTAATGCGCGCTTGATTGTAATTAATCTCGCGCGATTTTTCCGCTGACTCTCGAGACTCGTTGGTTATGTTTGCGAGACGCGTGGGTGGCGCGTGAATCGTAGCTTCATAAATTTGTCGCGATATAATAAAGTAGATCTCGCGATTTAACATCG